CTAGTGCTTTTAGAAGATTTCTGGATAAATGAACAAAAAAAGGAAACTATTGATCATTGGTATCAATGTTATGTACGTTTCCTTGCAGCACTAAAATGCCGCTTGACTCGATGGAAAGAAAGAGAGAGATACCGCCCATCTCTCCCTACATACATAGTCGAAAGGCTCCGTGATGTTCGACACATTCGAAATAAATATTACAGAGACAGGAAAGTAGCCGGACTTGGTAATGAAGATCTTAGAGTGTTGCTAAGAAATATGTCAAGAGAGGTTCGGAATGAGATTTACAATTATAGGTCAGCCAGATGGTCCAGCTTTCTGTCAACCATACAAGGTACTCATGATAAGCAGGAGAGTTCATTCTGGACGCATCTTTCAAAAATTTATAAACCAAAAACGTTACCCTTCTCCAAATTATCAGTAGGAACCAGTATCATATCAGACGAGCAGGAGATTACGAAAGAACTCTATAATTACCTTAAGGACTAAGCTAAGGCCCCTGAAATTGATCCATTAAACCCTCACGATATTCAAATCGAGGCAGAATTTAGAGATCTTCAGAACTTACTAACTGCTTCTAAGGGAACAGGCTTAGAGGCTACATCCATAACGGAAGTCTCTAAAATTATAAGAAAGATGAAAGGAGAGAAGTCTTCAGGTATCGATCAGGTGTCAAGTTTTATTATCAAATTACTTCCTCCAACCTATATAGGAAGTCTAGTCAATTGCTTCAACTTTTGGTTGAAAGAGGGGAGGTATCCAGGTTTCTGGAATAGCTCGAAAATTATTACCCTCAATGAACTTAAAGCTGGTATACCACGTTGCAATCAGACTAGACCTATATCTCTTTTAGCGACACATTCCAAAATTTTTGAAAAAGTGCTTCTCGATCGAATACGAACTTGGGCTGAAGGAAATCATCTAGTGCCGTGTGAACAATCAGGGTTCAGAACGAACTGTCTTCTCCAGACTAGGGTTCTTTCCATTTTTCAGGAAGCCCAGAATAATTTAGCTGCGAATGTCCCTACGCTTGCAATATATGTCGACTATGAGAAAGCGTTCGACTTAGTTTGGCATGCGGGTCTCTTGGTCAAATTATACAGGTTAGGTATACCCACTAACCTACTGAAAATGATTTATAGCTGGCTAAATAACCGTACAGCGTATATTTACTATGGCCAAACAAAGTCAGAAGTTTTTCAAGTACAAGTCGGCCTTCCACAAGGCAGTAGTCTCAGTCCCTTTATATTCGTAGTATACCATAGCGATTTAGTAGCTTGTCTGGGTGCCCACTCAAGCCATATCATCGCTGACGATCTGAGCGTGCTCATTCGAGCACCCATCCAGAAATCCTTCTCATCCCTAGTCGAGTATTTAGCGGTTGAAGGAAGTAAAATATGCGATAAGATTGCTGAATACTTGATTCGCTGGAAACAGCCAATCAATATAGGAAAAACTGTCGCACAACTCTTCTACTCACAAATTCGAAAGCCTACTGTAGACATATACATGCTAGGACAGAAAATCGCCATTGTAGACTAGTTCAAGTATCTTGGTTTTACTTGGACAAGTAAATTATCATTGAGACCCACTGTAAACAAAAGCCTGGAGAATATCCAAAGATCGTTGGGTAAGCTCAAATGGCTGCGTAGCGGAAAAATTTTGCCCAAAGACACTTTGAGAAGATGCTTCTTCGCGCTTATATTTCCCCATTTCGCTTGGATCTTTCCATTTTTCCTCTTTCTCCCAACAACGCACCAAGAGGCACTTAGAAGAAAGTATAGAGTAGCAATGCGCTTTGTCCACCGTGCCCCATTTGTTCGTGCTAAGGACCTTTTGAGTTTTACCCGAGAAGAACCGCTTGATACTTATGTCAAACGTTATATCTCGAAAAGATTAAAAAAGATGTGTTCTTCAGATTTAGGTTCTTCCTTATTTTTTGAAGATGTATTCCTATGGGATAATTTCCACAAGCAAGCTAAAGATGGTGTTGGCCATCTATTTATGTTGAAACGGGTGAAACGTTTAAAGTTAAAACACCACTCCCTCCTCCTAGACTGGCTTGATTTTAATGAACAAAGTGATAATTAGGAATATAGGAAAGAGGGAACACGAAATCCTAGTTATTAACAGCCACTTAACATTCTAACATTCTACCTCAACCTTTATAACTCCTGCTACTTGTATTCTCTGTTCATCTCGTTACCGCTTTCATTTGCTTTATGTATCTTTATCTTTGTTTCTCCCTTTTTGTTTACTTTACTTTTTTGTTTCTCCCTTTTTGTTTACTTTACTTTTTTGTTTCTCCCTTTTTGTTTACTTTTCTTTTTTTGTTTCTTCTTTTTACTTTTATTTGTTACTTCCTATCCCTCCCGTCCTTCCATGTTTCTCTGTTTTTGTAAGCGCTTCCGAGTGTGACAATAAAAAGAGCATAAACCAAAAAAAATGGCAATGTGAATGTGGTTTAAATAGCTGTAATGGAAGTAAGCCTTTATTTATTTATTTATTTGTAAATTACTAAATTTCGATAAAAGTGATATTTCCTTTTCTCTCAATTTATGTTGAATATTTTCATTATGTTCGGATAGATATTCTTGAGACACTTCGGCAAAAATTTGTCGAATTTGTTCATGTGTTACATTTGGATATTGACGATTGATATTGTTAATCATTTCATTAAGATCAAGAACTGTTTTATCGTTAGTACCTATTGTGCCTGACAATGGTTCACGTGAAAATTGATCAGGATCACTTCCTTCACTGAGTAATGAAGTTGGTGGAATTTGAAGAATAATTTCACGATAAATAGATAGCGGAAGACCTTCTATCAATGGATAAGGAAAAAGTGATTCTTCAAACAGATGAAAATCAATCTAAGAAAAAAATAAAAATAAACTAATACTTCTTTGAATTTAAAGCATTTTTTTACTGTTCGATTTTCTTCAATCTTTTGAATTTGTTGAGGATTTTCATCAAGTAATATTTCATAAAGATGTCGATGTTGAAAAATAATTTGAATAATATAATCAATTACTTTTGGATATTGTTGAGAATTAAATAAAATCGTTTTTTTATGTTCTTTTCCACCCATAAGTATTGAACATGAATGAACAAATGCTTCATCTAATTTAATAGGATTTGTTTTATTTGTTCGTTCAATTTGGCATAGAAGGCCATGAATTAATGTTAGAATGCAAACAATTTGTTTGTGAGTATAAGTTGACCAATGTAATAAATCATTTAAAAATGATGAATATAAATCAATAAGAGACTCGTCACGGAATGTCTCACGTTGGAATATTTTCGAGTTTAATTGCAGAATATGATCAAGAACAAATTGTTCGAGTTGAATAGGTAATGAAAAATTACCTTGATTATCATCGAATAATTGTTTTATTTGTTCAATTGATATGAGAGAATGAGTGACAAAATCATTAATAGATTCAAAGCGAAATAAATCAATATTCGAAATAGCTATGAACATTCTTTTAGAAATCTGTGCTGATGAATGTTGTTTGTCAGACTATCAACAGTTTTTTTCCCATCCATTCCGCCGTTGTCTACCAAGGCAACAAACTCGAGGCCGCCAATAACTAGATGTCACTGTTTTTTCTTTGTTCTTCATATTTTAGTTCAGAATCCTTGCGGCATATATGGTCGATATTATTTTCCTTATTATCCGGATGCGTCCCGATTTATTCAATGTGATCAAACAGGTGTTTTCTGGATTAGGAAATGTGCACCAGGTACAATATTCGATCCAAAGATTGGCGTATGTAATTACCCACCTGTTGTTGTCGAAACTGGAAAAAAATAAAAGTCAAACCAAATAAACTTTGAATATAAACATTTATTTTTCCTTTTGTTCTTTTTTAATTATTGCTACTATTATTAATATAAATTGTAGAGTCATAGTTTCATATGGAAATATTCTATTAATTAATTCGTTCTATCAAACAAAGATATAATGAATTTATTATTACGAGTTGGATAGAGATATCTGTTTATAACTTGTTTTTTTCGACTGACATATTTCTCTTTTTCAATGACTTTCTGTTGATTGGCTTATCTTTATCGTTGCTTTCTCATTATGCTGGAGAATACGTACAATATCATAGATAAACAGAACAACTTCTATGTCTCTTATTTCATGTCGTTACTTTTAACAAAGAAATTGATAGAGTAGTGACTGAGTTTACATCATCAAGATAGTTAATTGATTAACTACAATGGATCCTAGTGGATCTGAAATGTGCACAACCTAAATCTGTCTTATGAACAGATTAATTTGAATAAATCTACTTGTTTTATTTCATTATACTTATAAAGAAAAGAAAAAAAAAGAATCAATTATTTTATCATGACCAAAAAAAGCAAATTTTGACGGCATACACTCTATTCATACAGCTGGCTTACGACGATGAAAAAATGAAAAGTAACCACTTTAAAGTTTTCTTTTTTGAATTGAATAGACGACAAAAAAAATCATGTATCATAGTTTACATTAGTAGAAAATATGCATCGTTAGTGTATGGAATATTAAAATTTTCTCGCTGAGAAGTACATGAACTATTATAAGAATTTTAATTTAGTAAATCCGTGAATTGTAACGAATTAATCTTTATCTCGGTTCATTTCAGAAGATGCCTGATCCATAGTGAATGTCATATGGTAATCTAAACTCTCACGAATGATGTCAATACCAACTTCTTATCAACAAGAACCAATTCCAATAATGATTAATTGTAGACAATCATTTCAACCGATACCAATGGCACAACAATATAATGATCATTCGATAGGTTATAGTAATGCATTTAAAAATAATCGGATAGGTCCACAGCAATCAGATTATAACATGTCTTATCAATCAAATAACTGTACGTTATTTAATTTAAAGATTTTTTTATTGAATCCATTACTTACTTAAAAGCTCATCGAGCTCCGTCATCAATTCAATCGACAAAAGGACTCATTCAACCATCACGAATCCATTCGCTGAAACAACCAATTGTGGATGGAATCTATCCTTATAATTCGAATCAATCGTATTATCCACAAAATAAGTATACGGGTAAAATTAATTCCATTTTTTTTCATTAACTTAAAAATCCATTGCTTTTAGAAAATGCTGTTTCTGATGAATATCATGGAAAAAATAAAACATCGGTTGTAGTATTACTATTCTTTTTTGAAGAAATTAAAATATTTATTATTTAGACCTCATTTTGTTGGCAACTAACTTGCTTTGGTTTAACTCGTTTAACGGCAGGAATTCTATTTGGAACAATGATATTACTCATGGCTATATCGATCGGTGGTCTTGTAGTTTCCATTATTTTGTATGTTCAAGGTTAGCATATCAAATTTCTTTCTTGAAGTTTCTATACTTATCTCATGTAGATCAAAGTACGAATTCACAATGGAAAATCTTGGGTATAGTTGTCAGTTGTGTACTGTTAATAACAATAATTGTGACATTATGTATATTTATATATTGCTATAAAAACGGTCGTATTGGTAATAGCGATGATAAAAGTACTTTAGAAACAAGAGAATATAATCAAGAAAATGATTTTGTAAAAAGAAATTATTTTAATCGATCATATGATATGTCATCACTACCATACGGAACAAATCAAAATGCTTCACCATTTTCAACAAATGAAGATATTATCCAAGTTGAAGATAAACAAACAAATACTGAAATAACAATGGCACCTTTACGACCAAGAGATTGCCAACGTGGTGTTTGGCCAGGAAAGAATGCATATGGAGGTATATCTTATCGTTCCTTCGAAAAACCAATAATGACTCATCGTTTCATACAAACATCATCTAATGAAGACGATCAAACAGTGCCACAAGGAAATATTAATTTGATGAATATTCCACCAAGAACGATCATTCGACTACCCGGAAGAAGTCAGCCTCACCGTCACGGGGAATATTCGAGTCGTTTTAATGAAACAATTCCTTCGAGACCAATAGGGCGGCTAATAGAAGACTATGTAGAACATCCTCAATTACAAAAAAATGTTATAGAGAGATTAGACGATAGAAGAAAAATACAAATATTCAATAATGTTTCTGTTAAACGTATAGAAACATTTGAAGAACCAAACATTACAGATGAATTTACAACTGATCATTTTTATCAATAAATTATTTCTTTGTAATTTTATTCAACATAAATAACGAGAAAAACTATCTTGAAGTGTGAGTGTGGGTGTATAGGTGTAGATGAAGATCAGTGTGGGTGGGGATGCGTGTAAAAACTAGAGAAAATACCCACTAAACCCACACACACTCTAGCACATTGAATAGATAGAACTTTTTCTTTTAGATCGATTTACCGAGTTGATCTTTAAATCCCTCTTTGTTGTGCATTCGCTCATTTTCTATTCGCCTCGAAGAAGTGTACGCAATTTATGCTTACAACATTACAAATAATAAATATCAATGATTTTTCAAGATGAAAGAAAAATCTAAGTAATTTATTTAATCAATCTACCGAATTACACAAAGAAGAAGAATAAATAAGTCATATACTGAGAGAGTATATCCGGAATCATGTAGAAAACATCTTAACATTCAAATTAGTTCAATTTTGGCCAATCCCATTTTGATGGTAATACATCTTGATAGTTGGCTGTATATTGATTTGATTTAATAAATTGATCTAAATTGTCGGGCTTGGGATAGAGAGCGGCCAGATTATGCTCATAAGCATATTCGGCAAGACTGACAGCGATAGATCTTGAAACATCGTGAATCTTTTCAAGAGATGGATAGACAAGGCCAACAGCTAGATCTTCTTCTGTGACTAGGTCTGACAGAGTTTTTGCAGCAATATAGAACAGCTCTTCAGGTATGTGCCGAATACGACATGTCACAACGGCCAAGCCGACACCAGGAAATATATATGAATTGTTACCCTGGCCAGGTATATAGATTTTTCCTTGATATTCAACATTTGGAAAAGGGGAACCTGAAGCAAATACACATTCACCATTGGTAGCCTCATAAGCTTCCTGAGCTGTACATTCAGCTTTCGATGTTGGATTTAAAAGTGCAAAGATGACAGGATGTTTGCTAAATGATGCCATTTTTTCGAGAATTTCACGCGTAAATGCAGGTCCTTGTCCAGCAGCACCTACACGAAAATGAAAAAGTATAAATATCAGTCAATTTTATCAATAGAATACCTATGAGAAATGTTGGTTTGATTGCATCAACAATGTCTGATAGTTGAATGATTGATTCTAGTTCATGAGCATAGCGCTTCTTTTCTTCATTCAATCCACCAGTTGGACGATTCTGTTAATAAACACTTCATATCGCTAAAAGGAACATGAAGAAAAAATTTACCTTGACAACCAGTCCCTTTGAATCAACTAAGAAGATTTTCTTTCGAGCATCTTCAAGAGACAAACCTTCACGTTCCATGGCGATCACAAGTAAGTCTGACATTCCAATAGATGCCTAGAGCAACGCGAAATGTATGTGTCACAAAATGCGACAAGATGCTACTAACTTCGCCGGCTCCATAAAAAAAGAAATATGTTGTCGGACAATGATCGCTGGGTAATTCGAATTGAGCTTAGAATGCCAGCGACAGCAACGCTAGCTGTACCTTGAATATCATCATTGAATGTGCAATATTGGTCTCGATATTTTGCCAGAAGACGAAATGCATTGTGATTCTATTTGAATAAGAAATAACTACAAATCTCAATTTTCAGAAGATGGAATAATATTTACCGCGAAATCTTCGAATTGAATCAAACATTGATGTCCAAATCTATTACGAGAAAAGTAAAGCTATCAACGAAATAAGAAATTCAAACAATACTCGAATATTACCGTTTGGAAGCTGCCTGCATGAATTCATCAATAAAATCATCGTATTCTTTACCAGTGACGCGATTTTGTCGCAAACCCAAATAGTATTTGTTGTTGAGCAGTGTCTAAGCCATTTACGGAGCATCTATTTGTGTTAACAAAGAGTGACATTGTCTTACTTTATTGTTTGTCCCAACATCAAGCATCAATGGTAAACAATATTCAGGTGCTACACCACCCAATCCTGTATACAAACTTAATTTACCTACAGGGATGCCCATTCCGTTACATCCTAAATCGCCTAAACCTAATATTCGTTCGCCATCGGTAACAACAATGGCCTGAATTCGAAACAATATATTTCTCTTCGTGAGACATACAACAACTAGCTTACTCGAATATCATGTTCAGGCCAATTTGAAAGAACATCGTAAATATGGCCCTTGTCATGAATTGATACAAACAAACCTCTAAATCGGAGAAAGTATTACTGAGTTAGCAATGCTTTTATTTTATTCAATGACTGACTGACTTTGGTTTTGCAAAAATTAAGCCATATTTTTGACAAGCCAATCCAACAGTAGGTGTATAGACTAAAGGCATAGTCTCTTGAGTATGTTCCATTACGACACGGTAGAACAATGTTTCATTACGATCTTGTAGAGAAAGTAAAGCAATATATCGTGATAAATCATCTGGTAAGTTGCGCAAATTTTCCATGAACCGTTCGACTTGTAATTCTGGAGAGGCTATTGACGGTGGTAGAAGGCCATGAATGCGCAATGCTTGTCGTTCTTCAATTGAGAAAGCAGTGCCCTACCGAATAAAAACAAACATATGAATGCATTTTTTAGAAATTTTAGGATCTGACTGACTTTGTCAGTACGTCCATCGAGCAGGACATCACGGCCAATGAGATAGCGACGGTACGACATAATTTTCTTGACAAAAATATCAAGTGTATGTATTTCTAAAATTATACAATATATTTATATTGCAATCGAAGTAACATAGAAATATAAATTGTGAATCGATGCATTTTCAATCTAGATAGAATTTCTCATCATCAAAGTATAAGCACAACACTAAAAGATACATAGATGAAGAGCACTGATAACTAATATAAAGACTACTACTGATAACTTTATTGACATTAAACGAATGATCATGCGGACTTTTGTGTGGTCTATGATAAAATAATATGTGATATCAGTTGTCACTTCTGTTTTATTTGCCGCCACTAAAGCCGACGAATATGTTAAGCATTTTTCTTTCTATTTCTTTTCGATAACCAAATATCGGCAGCACCTTAAATGACAAAAACAAAGAAAAAAATGAAACAATGCTCCACATAACCTTGTGCATTGAAAAAAAGGAGTGACAACATGAAAATGTCTGATACTGTTGATTCGGATATCTATCCAGTAAAAATATCCACCAGCTAAAAATAAATTAAATTTTAAAGCCCTATTACGGTTTCCGTTTGAAATGACATACATTTCGATGCTCCACGATTTTTTATAGTGTAATTAAAACATGAATCTCTCAGCTATACTTAAGTCGATCAAGTCTTTATTTTTGTTATATTCTAGGATAAATATTCACGTTGTCTTTTTCTCACTCATATTTTTACATTTTTTAGTTTTTGAAAACTAAAATAATTATTAAAAAGAACGTACCCCAAACGTTTTACTGACGACAAATATGATGTCACGGGAAAAGGCATTGAAAGAAATTCAGCACCTACCGTTAGTATAAGTATCTGTTTACATCTCTCTAACAGAAATTACGCTTAACGTAGTTTTGTCAACAATTTGCCTTCACATATAGAGCATTTCATTTTTTCTTATCCTATCGTATTATATTTTTGGCGTAAGACATATTAAACAGTATATAATTTAAAACAGAAATAAAAATATTCACAGCTATATAAGCACTTTATTGGTATGACTAGAATTATTTATTCATATATGAAAGAGACATTTGGCATTTAATTTTCTGGGCTACGACAATTATAAATATGTTGATAAATTGAAGCAGAATTCTTATTAATGAATTCTAGATCGACTTCTTCGAGTATATCGTTGCTTTTGTTCTTGATATATTCTTCTTCCATAAATAAGTAGTGATGTTTGTTTTATCACACTGCTACAAGCTAATTTATACATAAACCTTATCGTAGAATGAATTACTGATGTAAAATTTTTATATTTATTGATTTAAAAAATATAATTAAACAGGATGATGCAATTGTAATGTTTCGAAAAGAAAGAGGTGGAAACATGAGATTTTCAATCCGAATGATATAGTTTCTTGAAGAAAAAAGGACTCTATTCGGTACTCAGTGACAATATGTTGAAGTTGCTACTTCTTTATATTTCTTTATCTTCATGAAAACTACTCGACTGCTTATTAAATAAATTGTTTAATGTAAATAAATTTCTTTTTTTCTGCCAATATCGTAAGCCATTCACATCAGTGTCCAGAGTATCATAGACGAAATAAGGAGTCATACGTATGCATTTTTTCTCTTAGTCGTTCTGTTCAATTGAGCTTGAAGAAACAGAGTTTATTTCTTCTTGCTCGAAACATTTTTTTCATCTTAGAAGAAAACAATGCGTTGGTTACTCGTAAGTCATGACGACAATTCCATATCGAAACAATGTGGAGAATTACTAGAAGTAGCAGGACAAATAGTTATCTGTAATTATCATCATGGCAAATCATCAATACAACAAATAAAAGATAAAATTAATAATCAAAAACCTGATCGAATTATTGTTTTTATGAATGAAAAAAGTTCTTCAGTACTTTTCAATACAATCAATGATCATTTATTGATTCCTCTATATATAGCACCGACTACAATGAATTCTTATTTCATCTATTTCTGTTCTTCTATTCACATGTGCACCAAACGATAATAATTTAAGTGTAATTCAGAATGCAACTGATCAGTTAGTTAATATGTATTCTCATATTGTCAAGTATATTAAACATAACACTTTTTATTTAAATAAGTTTTTTCTAATATATAGTGCAAATGTGCTAACACCTATCTGTGATAAAGATATTAATGAAACTTATTTTCAATCATTATGGGCAACGAATTCAGAAGAATTTCATCGTGTCACAATTCTTTCTGATGTTCTACCCATTTTATTAGCACTAGTTCATGATGGAAAAGCAAATGGTCAAGTAGATATTTGTAACAAAGGTACAATATCATTGAAATATTTTCAAAAGCTAAATTCCAATGAAATTAAACAAGAAGATGTTATACCTCAGTCAATTGAAGTAGAATATATTACTGACAAATTCGCTGAATGGAGTAAACAAATGATTTCACCTGAAACACGACAACTTTACCAGGCATAATTTTTATTACCCAATGTATTAAAAAGCATCGAGCAAGCTTTACAACGACAAAAATCAAATGTGAATTCAAATGAATCAAGAATTTTACTTGTTACAGGTGGATGTAGATTTATTGGAAGTACACACACTAAGTAAAAATGTGTCGGATGTGTCGTAAACTACGACACAAAGCACGACACATTCGAGTACGACATGAGGTGCTCGTTGCGACACATTCTGCCCAGCAAGACCACGACGCATTT